AAAAAGGATGAATTTTGCTGTATGTAAATTATGATTCAATAAACCTGACTTTTAAAAAAATGATCTTTACTTGAATAGACATTTCTCCATAGAAGATATACAAATGATTAACAAGCAAATTTACATGTGAAGCAAAACTATACTGAGAACTACTACTTCGCATGTATTAGGATGACATGTACTAGTAAACATAAAAAAAAACCCAAGTGTTGGTAAGGATGTGCAGACTCTGAAACCCTGTAAGCTATTGGTGGGAATATAAAATGGTATGGCTGCTGTAGGAAACAGTGTAGTAGTTCCTCAAAAAATTAAAAGTAGAATTGCCATACGACCCAGCAATTCCACTTCTGTATACACGCTCGAAAGCAAAGAAAGCAAGGATTAGAAGAGACCTCTGTACACCCATGTTCACAGCACCACTGTTTCCAATTGCAGAGACATGGAAGCAACACAACTGTCACAGACAGAAGGATGTATGAGCAAAATGCAGTACACGTGTACAGTGAAATCTTAGTCTTACACAGGTGAAATTTCTGACACACGCCCACCTGAGGATTGTTGCCAGCAGCATAAAAGGAGAACTGGAGGGAGCAGAGAGTGCTGGTGATCCTCCTGGAGAAGCTTGTCACGCTGGCTTTCCTGATACAAACTCCGCTGTTCTCATCACTAGAGGAGCTCAGGTCCTCACTATCACTGAGGGTGGCTTTGGTCCTTTTGGGAGAGGTTTGGTCCTTACCTTGAACATCTCTTCCTGGCTCCAGTGCAGCCCCCTCTGCCTGCTGGCACAGATCCTTCATCCCATTGGTGCAGAGTTTCTAGCTTCCAGTGCTGACCCTTGGGCCCTCCCAGTGCAGATCTGTGAAACAGACTTGCATGAGACATGGCTGTGGGCCCTAGGCCCATGACTTGTGGAGGACGTCGCCATAGGCTCTAGGTCTTCAGATGGTTTTGTGCAGGACATTGCTGGGACCCAGGCCGCCAGGTGGGTTCTTTGGGTCTCTAGTGGGTGGACAGATATCCTGCACTCTTCTACATCTGACCTTTTGGGTACTATGAAATAATCCTATAAATTCTGTGTCCTGAATTAAATCCATTCCCTTGTAAATCACAACAGATATAGTACTATGTGGTTCCACTTATCTGCAATACTTAATCCCTAATCATAGAAACAGGTAAATAGTGTAACCAGCTCCCTCTAGTTCTTAGGTCCTTGTTTTGGCCCAATGAAGATGACAAAACTGCAAGCAGCAAGTGGCGAGGAATGGCCAAATGTGTGTTTAATAGAAAGAATAAAAGGAAAATCTCTCTGCTAGTTGAGAGGGGTGCCATTAAGGCAGACACCCCCGATGTTTTGGAAGGAGTGAACATGACAGAAAGCAGGGCTGCTCCGGGTGGCAGGTCTCTGATGTCCAGGAAGCAAGCTGCTTTGCTTGCATTTCACTCCCTCCAAGGTGTCTCTTATTTGCTTATGGTCTTGTGTTTCATTAGGCCCTGGTAGTTTAAGTTAATTGTTTTGCTTCTCTGGTATGTTAACTCACTTAAAAAGCCAGGCTGTGATATGCCACTCTGACTTTTAGTTTACTTCTGTTAACTATTGGAGACGCATGCCATGTTTGTCTCACTTCCCCTCCCTCCTTGCTTCAGTATCACGGTGGCTTCTAGGAGCCGGGTGTAGAGGCAATTGCAGGGTCATTGTTTAATGGCTATGTGAGTTCTAAAAACTGAAAAATTTCTAGAGCTGGAAGGTGGTAATGTTTGGATGACAATGTGAATATACTTGTGCCATGAAGTGTATTCTTAAAAATGGTTATGCTGTGTATTTTAATGTACAATTTTTGTGTATTTTACTACAATTTTTTTTTTTTTACCGGTACCGGGCATCGAACTCACGACCGCCTGCTTGCAAGGCAGGTGCTTATGCTGCTGAGCTAAACCCCCAGCCCCTAATTTTTTAAACTGGGGGGAGGGAGTTGTTTAATCTTTTCCCATTGTTCTATTACACTTGGTTTGTGAAGATAAGTAAGTAATTTCAGTCTGTTTTCTTCAATTGTTAAGGTTAAATATCTTCTAGCAGCTGATTATGTTGTTCTCTTATCTACATAATAGGGCCAGGGACTACTTATTGGTCTTCCTTACTTGCATGGTGCAACACAGAAGTTTTCAGTTTAAATACTAGGTTCTGCAAATGATTTTCTTTGATTTGTGTGCTTGGAGAGTATTTTCTACATTTTTCATTTCAGGCATGGGAAACTGAAATTTTTCTTTGGTTTTTAGTATCTTCCAGTATTGTGATTTTTGTTATGGTTGCTGTGAATTTAGGTATCAGCCTTTGCCTTGTGATTATCCCACCATTAAGCTTATTTCCAAGAACCCAATATTCTCAGTCACCTTCCAAAGGAAATGTCTTTCCTTTATTTTAAAGGTATCTATTCCAATCCTGTGGCAGTGCTGCCCTGGAGTTCATTTCCTGGCGTTTGCAAAAACACTTCTGCAGTCTTGTAATAGCATCTGGGCTTTATCCTACCAAAGCATTTCCCAAGGTTTTGTTCCTAAATATCCTTTAGATTTAGATGGAGAAGACTTTTACTGACAAGCTCAGGGTGTAACTCAGCGGTCGAATGTTTGCTTATAGGTGTGAGGCCCTGAATTCCATCCCCAGCGCCAGAAAAAATTTATATATAAAAGTTACTGAAAGAACAATTGTGGGCCTTATCTAGCAATATTTACAGCCTGTTTACTTACAGTCTGTTTAGTTTACTTCTGTTAACTATTTGGAGACACATGCCATGTTTTTTAAAAGTGTTTAAAAAAATTTTTTTTAAAGCACAAGAACATAAAAACACACATTGCCCTGCGATGGTGTTTTCACAAGTCGTGTCATCACTGGACGTTAGAGAGCGAGTGTGAAAAACGCAAATGAGGGGCTGGGGGTTTAGCTCAGTGGCAGAAGCACCTGCCTTGCAAGCAGGCGGTCATGAGTTCGATCCCCGGTACTGATAAAAATGAAAAAAAGACAAAAAAAGAAAAACGCAAATGACATCTTGACATCAGCGGGGAAACCGTTCGGATATGAACAGACGCCCTCAACGGGTCTCCTGCAGTCACCGGGAACACCAAAGGGCATTACACGGCTCCTCCACAAAGATACTGCAGGTGGCGTCGCTTGTCTCCCCGGGCACTCACTTCCCAGTATGCCCCAGGCGTGACGTCAGACGTGTGCGCGGTGCGCCACGTGACGCGACGGGACGCCGAGGCGGGAATCTGTGAGTGTGCGCGCTGCAGACCCTCGGCAGGGCTGCCTCACCCTTGACGGGAAGGGGCCCGGTACGGAAGACCCCGGCGCCAGCCGCAGACCCTGCGCTGGTCGCCCCTCGCTCGGCCAACCCCGTGGGCCGCCCGTGGCTTCCTGGTCCCCCGCTCCTCCAGGCTTCAGGCCCTTGGTATTGCAAACATGTCCAGGATCGAAAAGATGAGTATTCAGGGCGTGCGGAGTTTTGGAATAGAGGACAAAGATAAACAAATTATCACTTTTTTCAGCCCCCTCACAGTTTTGGTTGGCCCCAATGGGGCGGGAAAGACGGTAAGTCGTGAGAAGCACCCCTCAGGTGACGGGTGGCCATGGTTCCGGGACCCAGAAGTGGGAGAGTCTGGGGCCCTCAGAACTCTTGAGGCGAAGGAAGAAAGGCTGTCCCAGAAGGTGCCTCGGGGCGTGGCCTCCTGTGGTCTTCGGGCGAGGGCCACCCGGGGAGTGGGCGCTTCGGTGTCCCAGCCCCGCCCCCAGCCCTGCGCTGCGCATCGCGCGCTCCCCTTGCCCGGGAGCTGTTGATGCCTTCGCCCCCACCTTGTTCCCCAAGCACAAGGTTCACTTCCCGGTAGTTGTGGCATACTGCAGTTCCTTAAAAAGTTACAGTAGATAACTAAGAACCGCTAAGTATGCTGTCTATTAAGGATGCCAAGTAGAAAGCAGCTAGCTTACCTCTAAAATGAAATTGATGTAATGAGATTTGATTAAATTGGAAAATTTTTTGGTCAGGATGCTCTAACCAGCCAAAAAAGTAGAAGCACAGTTTATTTACAGCGATCATTTAAAGTCCAGGGAATATTTAGAGAATTGAGGAAGTGTTCAGGTCAGGAAGAATGACTTGAGAAAAAACAAGACTACAGCAGTAAACCCGTGATAAGAGTCTCAGGGAAGAATTTGTGGGAAGCACACAGAACGAGAAGGTTGGGAGTTGGATGGTTGTCCACTTTTTAGGTAAAAATTTTTGGTGAATGCGTCTTGTATACTTGGTGTTATACCAGGTGCACCACTGGAAGGCAGACTAGTATTTATGATCACTGCTTGAATACAAAAGTTTCTGCTCATCAGTTACTGCTTATGTGACCGGTGGCAAGTACCTTAGGGCAAAAGTGGTTTCTGCAGCATAGGGTTAAGGTGAAAATTAAAAGATTAATGTGTATAGAAGTGTGTAGTACAAAGCACCTGCCTTGCAAGCAGGCAGTCGTGAGTTCGATCCCCGGTACCGATAAAAAGGAAAAAGACCAAAAAAAGTGCGTAGTACAATACTTGACACATAAAGAGCTCTATGCATTGTTAGTCATTGTTACTATTAGTTTAAATAGTTTTAATTGGAAATATTTTTTATTCCAATAATAATTTTGGGGGGCTTTTTCAATTATTTTAAAATACTTAATTAATAACTTTTCTATGAACTTAAATTTTTAATTATATTGGCTTTATGTTGTCGAATTTTATTTAATCATATTTTTATAGTCTCCATAATTTTTTTTTAGTGCATGTTTGCTGTACATAATGATTACATTCACTATAGGGACTTAGTACCTGTACATAACACATTTCAGTTCTTTTTATCGCTTTCTCTCCACCCCTCCTTTTTTCCCAATGTTAGAGTCATATATTTTTTATAATGAATTAATCTTTATGATAAACCTTTTCAGTTCTTTTGTAACTAAATAGTATAATATTTTTGTTTCCATAGACCATCATAGAATGTCTAAAATATATTTGTACTGGAGATTTCCCTCCTGGAACCAAAGGAAATACATTTGTTCATGATCCCAAGGTAATGATGCTAGCAAAAATTTTTTTTTAGAATTTTGTAGAATTGTAAAAGTGATAATAGCTTATTGTAGAAAACCTAGCAGTGGGAAAGTATAAAAAAAATTAGTTACCTACATGTAGTGTGAGCATTGTGACATCCATTGATATTTTCATGTGTTCTTTTCCTCTTCTCTGTCCTTTCTCCCCACTAGATATCAAGAAGTACCAAATCATTAAAATGTTACAATCAATTTTTAATCTGAGTGTTTGGTATGTGGGTGCTTTACTTAATCTTTATGCTTTTGTATGTTTGAAATATTTTGTACTTAAAATGTGTGAAGTTTTTGTGAACATTTTTTGATAGTAGCATAATTTTTTATATTTAGGTTGCTTAAATGTAGCTTGATGAAACTCTTTGTATGTGAATCCTCATCAGAATTAGTCAGTCACGTGATTAGCATGTATAAAGGGCGTAGAATTTTGCTTGGAGACCAACAAAAAAATATATGTTTAGAGGGGTTATGTGCTTCTGACAATGTCTTTTGCTTCCAGATGAAGTCCAGTTCATTGTGTACTCTCCCAGGATTACCTTGTGTTTATAAAGCATGCCTGTGTGAGCATAGAAATATACCTCTGTTTCATTGTTTTTACTAAAATAAGTTTTGGGTTTTTTGGTACCCGGGATTGAACTCATGACCTTGCACTTGGCAGGCAGGCGCTTATGCCATTAAGCTAAATCCCCGATCCTTTACTAAAATACTTAATGACTAATTCTGTTGAGTTTACATCATGGATTTTATTTATTTAGCCAACCCTCACATTGATTACTTAAATTATGTTTACTTTTATGTGACCACAGGAAACTATAATTATGAATTTTTACATTAAAATGGTACTAAGCCCTTTAAAAGATGACTTTCACACCTGTTTCCTTAAGCCTTTTATCTACTTTCCTCAATTAATGATCTTGCCTTGTATTTTATTTAAAGGTAGGAGAAATCAGATGAATATCAGATGAAAATTTGATATTTTTTAATCAAATATCTACCAAACTCATACATGTACTCATAGTTTCCTCTCTGTATTAAGGGTAATTGTTTCTTGTCGTACCTAAGCATCTTATCAGCCAGCTCCTTTTGTAGGCTAGAGTTTTTTTGTCTTTTTCATTTTTATCGGTACCAGGGAACGAACTCACGACTGCCTGCTTACAAGGCAAGAACTTATGCCGCTGAGCTAAATCCCCAGCCCCTGGTAGGCTAGAGTTTATGTGTCTCTTATCACCTTGGCAATTTTACTGTTTCATTGCTTTCTCTTTTGGTGGAATCAGCATTTTCTTTTTTTTTTTGGTGGGCTAATTTACATCAGTGTATAAACATGCTACAGTCCTCAATTAAAAAATACAACAAAACAAAACAAAAATCCCTCTCCCTTTACTCCAAACATCTTTGGGTTAGGCCTTTTGTTTGTTCCAAGTGAGAAGAAAATTCACAAGATTATATGTACCATTGTTTTCACATTATTGCCTCCCATTGTCTGGTCTACTCCACCCTGAATTAATGCTTTTTTTCTCCTCCGGTAAAACTGCTCCATGTTGTTTGATAGGGTGGTATGCTTCTGATTCTCATCACCTTTTTCACAGATTTGATACAGTTGGTTATTATTAGTTTTTATTTGTTTTGTTTTGGGATAGGCTGTCATCAAAGAAGGTGATCCTCCTGCCCCAGCTTCCCAGGTTTTAGGACTATGGGCATGTGCCACTGTGCCTGGCTTGTTATTATTTTTCAAAAAAAAATTTCCCTTTGCTTTTTTGACACATAATCTTAGGGTTTCCTTCTTTCCCCTTTCCCGTTAGTCTTTGTCTTTTACTGTTGTCTTTTTTTTTTTCTTCTTTGTTTTGGTACTGGGGATCAAACCCACCTGCTTACCAGGCAGGTGCTTATGCCCTTGAGCTAAATCCCTGCCCCTTTTCTTGATTTTAAATGAAGATTTAGCCTCTTCTCTGTTGTCTCCTTGGATGAGCTTATTCAGTTCTGTGGCTTTAAGTACTAATTATGTTCTGGTGACTCCATATTTATATATTTAACTCTGCTTTCTTTCTTAAGCTCTATGATTAGACAACAGAAAGAAGGAAAAGGAATAAAGATAGGAAACAAAGAAGTTAAACTATCATTAATTGCATAATACTGTACTTAGAAGACCTCAGAAACTCCACCAAAAGACTACTAGATTTAATAAGCAGATTCAGTAACACATCTGGTTACAAAGTCAACACTCAGAAATCAATAGCCTTCTTATACATGAATAACAAACTAACTGAGCGAGAAATCAGGGAAACAATACCTCCTACTATAGTATCAAAAAATACGAATCAATCTAACAAGGATGTATAAAACCTCTTTCTTAAGCTCTAACATTGAGAGAACTCTGCCAAAGCTAACAAATATTACCAGAGCTCACTCAAGAAGAAATACACCAATCAAATTGACTTTTAGTTTACAATCTGCTAATGAAAACGCTAGGCCAGATGGTTTCATTGATGAATACTTGTTTATAAAGTGTCTTCTAAATGTCTCATATGTTTGGAAGGTGATTGGCACCTGTAACAGTACTGTTAGAAAGTAGGATTTGGTTGGAGGTGGGTCACAAGTATGTGATATGGAAGGGTGTGGGGTTGTTTGTTGTGGGTTTTTTTGGTATCAGGAATCAAACTCGCAACATTACATTTGCCATGCAGGCACTGTACCGCTGAGCTGTATTCTGAACTGAAAGGATGTATTCTTGTCCCCAGCTCCTCTGTGTGTCTCTCACTTTCCTGGTTGCCAGAGGTTGAACATCTTTCCTCTGCTGTTCCCTTCCACCCTGCCATTTCTGCAGTGGAGTCAGCCAATCATAGACTAAAACTATGAACCAAAATAAATCTCTCCCTGTAAGTTGTGAGTGTCACATGTTGTGTCCCACTGATGAGAAAATGACTAAGACAAGTCTGCCAAATACTTTAGGAAGAAATAATGCCAGTTCTACATAAACTTTTAAGAGGCAGAAGTGCTTACTAACTTAGGAGTTTAGCACTACTTTGATAACCAAAACCAAAAGATAACTGATGATATCTCATAAGTAGGACAACTACTGATGTTTTTGTAGTTGCAGAAATTCTTAGCAAAATATTAGTCTTAGTTTTTTCTCGATGCTGAGAAAAAATATCTGTTACCTAAAGTTAAAGGAGGAAAGGTTTATTTAGCTCACAGTTTGTAGAGGTTTCAGTCCATAATCAGCTGGTTCCAAGGTAGGGTAGCTTGGCAGAGGGCCATCACAAAGGAGAACATTATGGTGGCCACAGGTAGCAAAAGCAGTAAGGAACCTTAACAGTATCTTTCTGCCCCTTTTGTACTCTTACCTGGGCTATTGGAGTTGCTAGGATTAGGATGGTTCCAAATCAGTAAACCGATTTGATTAGGATGGAGCCAGATCAATCAGTGGACTGATTTAGTAATCACACACTCTTAATTCTAGCATCATAAACTGTAGATTCAGCCGCCTCTGAAAAAGCCCCATCGAAGACTGCGTGAGGCTTTGGGGGACATCTAGACACAAGCCTTAGCAATTAGGAAGTAAAATTCACACGTGTAGATAAAGATCATACACCTCCACCGAGTGGGATTTGCCTTAGGAATACAGGGTTTGTTTAACACTCCAAAACCCAGTCAGTGTAATTTGTACCATTAACAGAATAGGAAAGTCATCTAAGCACTATTAAATTCAGAAAAGGCCTATAAATTTAGTGTTCATTTACAGTAAAAACACTCAACACCTTTTTATTATTCCTGAGTAGTTATTCACTCTGAAAGCCATTAAGTAGAACTGAGTAAGACATACATCCACAAAAGTTAGAGGTGGTAGCCTGGTAGAGGAGTGGAGACCAACTAAAGAATCCAAGTTCATACATTAAAAAATGAAGAGGGAAAAAGCAGGAAAGACAAAGCCCTGTATTCAAGTAGAATCTTGACTAATGTGGAAGGAATAATGGAACTAGATTACTGGTTGAGATTATAATAGTCATTCAGGTGAGAACCAGTGGTTGTTAAAACTAGTGGAGGAAAGGTGAATGAAATACTGTATGGGACAGGTACATGCTATCAGTGCATCTCCCCCTCAGATATTTAATAATCATTAGGTAAAAAATATATGGGAAGAAGCTGGCAGATCCACCTGAATCAAGAGATTGCAGTTAATACTTGTAGTAATGAGATGAATCGAAACCATGCCCTACTTGATGAGAGACAATGAATGGGAATTGCCTTCACTTCTGTAATATCTCTGCCAGAGATATGTAACTTTATCTCTGCACAGGAAAGTGCCAGGCAAACCTCAAATTTGGAAGGTATTCCACAAAATAATGGTCTGTAACTTTCCAAATTATCAGTCATAAAAGTCCCAAGAAAGTATAAGTGTTCTAGGCTGGAAGAAATTATAAAGAGGTTGGGTGTGGCGGTGCTTGCCTGTAATCTTGGCCAGTAGGAGGCTGAGGCAGGAAGATCACCTTGAGTTTGAGGCTGTCCTAAACTATGTAATGAGACCCTATCTCAAAAAAGCAAAAAAAAAAAAAAAAAAAAAAAAAAACTTGACAAACACATGAAATGAATAATTTTGAACTGTACTGTTTTGTTGTTAATTTTTTTTTTTGTCTTTTTCCTTTTTATCAGTACCGGTACCGGGGATCGAACTCACGACTACCTGCTTGCAAGGCAGGCGCTTATGCCGCTGAGCTAAATCCCCAGCCCCCACTGTTTTGTTGTGAAGGACATATTGGAACAATTTGCAAAACTTTAATGAGGTTTATGAACCATATTATAATAATCAGTTTCCTGATTTCTATGTTGGAAATTCCTTATTTGTAGGAAATACCAATGGTACATTTTAATCTTAAGTGAGTCAAGGAGGTAGCATTACACCTATTGTATTTTTGTTTCTCTGTTACGGTCTTTTAAGCTGAATTTTTATACTTAATAAAATTAAAAATAAAGTTCATTAACTTAAAACATTCATATACTTATAATGATGCTGAGTAAAGGAAGTAAGTAATACTTGTATCCTTTTAGTAAATCAATTAAAGTGTATTCTTTTCTTATATTTTGATGTTCATTTGTTTGGCAATGTTAGGGATTGAACCGAGGCCCTTCATTCTGAGCTACATCCACAGCCCTTTTAAAAATTTTTATTTTGAAACTGGGACTCACTCAGGATGACTAGGCTGGGCTTGAACTTTTTATTTTGTGGCTCAGTTTCTAACAGTCCTGGAATCGCAGGCAAGTGCCACCAGGCCTGATTTCTCCCATATTTTGAGTAGCATGTAAAAAATGTTACTTTGGATGTTGAAGCTTTTCTTTCACCTCATTTTGGAAAAGCAAGATTGGTTATGCTTTTTCTTTGAGAACTAACATTCTGGTGCTTATTCGTGGTAGCATAATTTTCTGTTTGCCTACAAAGGTTGCTCAAGAAACAGACGTGAGAGCCCAGATTCGTCTCCAGTTTTGTGATGTCAATGGAGAACGTATAGCTGTGCAGCGATCCATGCTGTGTTCTCAGAAAAGCAAAAAGACAGAATTTAAAACCTTGGAAGGAGTCATTACTAGAACAAAGTAAGTGTTAGCATTATATTTGAGTATCTCTTCATTTTTAGTTTTATAGGCTAAAGGTTTTTGGAGTAGTTTGGATTCACAGTAAAATTGGGTAGTAAAGTGCAGTTTCCATATATTCACTGCCCCTTCATACACATCTCCAGGAGCTCTATCAGCATTTTAAGTTTTTGGTACTATTTATTGGTTAAATGAAACAATACCATTAAAGATTCAGTGATACCATACTGTTCTGTTTCTTTTAGTGATTTATGAATAGTTGCTGAATTGTGCATACTCATTCAAATGAGTAAAGATTTAAATGGATTAAAATGCGCATGTCATGTATAGAGGTAGGTGAGGTGATAAGCAGATAGGCAGGGAAGAGTAAGAGTTTCTCTGCTAACTGTTACTGTTGTGACATTCAGGTGTCATCTTCAACAGTTGGAGTTAGGCTGCCTTGGATTCAAAGCTCCTTGCTGAGCAAATTGCTTGACAATTCACCTTCCTCCCCTTCTTTTTTGTTAATGAAACTAAACAGTACCTTTATTTAGCCAGTAATGTTTAGTGCCTACCACCGATACTGCCCTAGGCCCTAGTTTCTTAAGCAGGTTCTTTTCATTGGCTTTTTTTTTTTTGTCTTTTTCCTTTTTATTGGTACCAGGGATTGAACCCACGACTGCCTGCTTGCAAGGCAGGCGCTTATGCTGCTGAGCTAAATCGCCAGCCCCTTTAGGCTGTTTCTTTGTAGGAGCTGGAGAAAAAAAATTTGTTTTCTTGTTTTCATGGTTTTGAACATGCCCATGTATGTTGGCCCAGTTCGTGGCCCTTTCTCTATGCAGCAGTGAGCTGAGTTGTCAAATTGAATCATTCTTACCTCTTTTATCCATTCTTACCTCTTTTATCCCTTCTTACATGTAAAGACTTTGTGATTACGTTGGTAACACCCAAGTCGCCCAGTATAATCTGTTTTTAGGTCGCATAGTGAGCAGTCTAATTCTCTCTGTAACTTTTATCCCCCTTTGCCGGGTAACCTAGAATTCACAAATTATGTGTACTGCAGATCAGTAAACGGCAGTTGTTAATCAGTTCTTACCTGAAGTTTTTTCTAGACCTTCATTGTACAACACTGCTTCCTCTTTATTTCCATTACACATCCTATTTCATTCACCCAGCCAATAAAGGTTGAAGTGCTGCAAGCTTAGTCCTGTTTAGTTCTGTTTTCATATTCTCTTCCTAGATCATCTCCTTCATATCAGTTGCTTTATATGAGTTCCCGTGTGTTTGCAGGTGATTCATAAATTTCTCTAAATCAGACCTCTGTTTCCAGACCCATATACCAACTATCTCTCTTATTTCCAAATGGTTGTTTCAGTGATATCTCAGATTCAGTATTAAGCTGAATTCAGAAGCTGAATTCAGAAATTAAGCTTTTGCTTTTCTTTGACCCCGCCTGAAAAACCTACAACTTGATTGTCTTACATTACTTTTCTTCTCAATGAGTGATACCACTATGTGTGTAAATCTAAGTCTAAATGCATTGCTTGCCCTCTATCCAATCCATTGCCACATCTGTGGATTTCGTCTAAATGTTTCTTGACTGTTTCCACTTCTGTGATGATTATGTATTCTATTGCAAGCTACATGATCTTTTTTTTTTTTAAACAGTTTTTTTTTTTTTTTCTACTGGGGATCCAACTCACCACCTCGCACTTAAAAAGCTGATGCTTATGCTGCTGAGCTAAATCCTCGGCCCAAGCTGCATGATCTTTTTCATGGTGTAATGTGATAACCTGCTGATCTATTCATGTCCTTTCTAGCCTCTTACAAAACATTCTCACTGTACTCTGTGTATTTTAAAAATGAAAATAGAAATTACAAAAAAAAGTAAAAAGAGATAACTACCTTTGCCTATTTAAGTCATCTTTGCCTTTCTATCGATCATGTTTTGTTTTAAGTTTCTTATTTTTGAGTTCTGGGGATGGAATATAGTATTTTCCTCTATGTATTATATATTTTAAATTACTATCACTAGAAGTCCAAATATGTTAAAAAAAAAAAAATTGGCATCCTTCCTATGCCACCTAGTTTTATGTAACCTTTTTGTCAGTGAACTACGAAATTGTTTGAGTTATGCTTTTTAGTATGAGGAAGCTGTTTAAATAAACACAGCATGAAAGATTAAGCAATAGAATAGGTTATTTTACTTATATTCTTGACTTTTGTTTCCTGTAGGCATGGTGAAAAGGTCAGTATCAGCTCTAAGTGTACAGAAATTGACCGAGAAATGATCAGTGCTCTTGGGGTTTCTAAATCTGTGCTAAATAATGTCATTTTCTGTCACCAAGAAGACTCTAATTGGCCTTTAAGTGAAGGAAAGGCCCTGAAGCAAAAGTTTGATGAGATTTTTTCAGCAACAAGGTTTGTAATTCTTAAGATTTTTTTTAGCCCACGAAGTTATCGAGCCTTTGTTTGTTTGGTTGGTTGTTACTTGTTTTTGAGAGACAGTATCGTTGTGCTGCCCAGGCTGGCCTTAAACTCACTTCAAGAGATCCTTCTGCCTCTTGTCTCTTTTTATTGTGCCTCAGCCTCTTGAGTAGATGTGTACCACTGTGCCTATCTTTTAGATACTTTTTTAAAAACAAAAAATATAAAAAGCAAAAAGTTTATCAGTTAATACTTTTCACCTAGTGGCAGACAATGTGTGTATTTTCTTCTAGTTTTCTTTTTTGTCTGCTTATTTACCTGACTGTATAAATGTAGTTTTTCTCTCACCATAAGCATTTACCACATTATTATGAACTCCTTGTAATCTAATGACTGCATAATATTTTGTTGTGTAAATACACCATAACTTAGATTTATTGGTATCTTTAAAGGTATATAAAAGCCTTGGAAACACTTCGTCAGGTACGTCAGACACAAGGTCAGAAAGTAAAAGAATGCCAAACAGAACTGAAATACCTGAAGCAGAATAAGGAAAAAGCTTGTGAAATCCGTGACCAGATTACTAGTAAGGAAGCCCAATTAATATCTTCAAAAGAAATCATCCAGTCTTATGAGAATGAACTTGAACCATTGGAGGTAATTCAATTTTTCTTTAACAAATAAAAATTCCATTTATTGATAGTTGTGCAATATGATGTTTTAATGTAAGTATGTATTGTGGAATGACTAAACTAAAACACATTAGCGTATGCATTACCTTGGATAATACTTTTTTGTGATAGGATCTATTAGCAGTTTTCGTGTGTATGTTAACTCTTGTCACAGTGAAGTAAAATAGTATAATAGTTGTTATCTGGTATTATACTAAGGCAAAAGTCACTTTTTGCCTGGGAAAACATTCTATTGTTAAATGAACTTGTACATATAACATATGGCATGTACATTTCTTTCAAAAATTAATGAGATTTATTATAACTAATGTCTTAGATCTGTGTTAGATGATTAGACTTTATGTTTCACAAAGAGCGTGGATTTGAGAGTAAACAAATTTGTAACATCACACTAAATTAAAGTGGTAGTATACAGGGGAGAAGTGTGGAGATTGGTAGTGTAAATAAGTAGCTCCTAAACAGCAGCGTAATCAACCAACCTTATGATTCTCTGTTTTTAGAATTTTTTAATTGATATCTTTCTAGAGAAGTTTATAATTTGCAGCATGTTCTTTTTAAAACAATTTTTTAAAAAATATTCTTTGTTTTTTTTTGTCTTTTTGAGACAGAGTCTCACTATGCAGGTCAGGTTGGTCTTAAGCTCACTTTGTAGCCCAGGCTGACCTCTAGCTTGTAATGATCCTCCTACATCAGCCTCCTGAGTGCTGGGATTACAGGTGGGCACCACCATGCCTGGCTTGGATTTTTATTATTTTTGAAACAGAGTCTTGCTCTGTTGTTCAAGCTGGCCTCAGACCCTTAGGATTCAAGGATTCTTCTGTCTCAGCCTCTTGAGTAGCTCAGACTATAAGTGAATCTTACAGTTTATAATAAAACCTGATGGAAATCCCATTCATTGATTGCATAAATATATACTGAGTGTTTCCTATGATTTGTGCTACCAAGTCAAGCAAGACTACAACAGCACTCTTACACTTGAGCTATTACCAGTTCAAGAGCATTCTTAAAAATGACTGCTTGTTAAGTTTCAGATAGAAGATTTTGTAGATGGTTTTGGTTTTGGGTGTGTGTGTGTGTGTGTGTGTATGTGTTTTTTTCTGAGACAGGGTCTCATTGTGTAGTTCATGTTGGCCTTGAACTCACAGTGATCCTTCTGCCTCAACCTCCTGACTGGTGGAATTACAGGTATGAACCACCTCACCTGGCTGCAGATTTTTAACCATTAAATAATTTACTGATTTGTCTTTTTTTAATACCAAGTACATTTATTAGAAAAGAAGAAAGTTATGAAATATCCTCATATCTTTCCTTGAGAAATTAAAAATAAAAAACAATAAAACCAAAAACCAATAGAAGAAAGTAATAAAGATCAGAAAACACAATCCCTTATCACACCGCCAACATCATTTTTCATAAAGATTTTAATTCATATATTTCTGTAAAAATAGAGAAGACTCAGAATAGTCTAAACAACTTTGTAGTTTTTTTTTTTTTTTGTCTTTTTCCTTTTTTATCGGTACCAGGGATCGAATTCACGACTGCCTGCTTGCAAGGCAGGCGCTTATGCCGCTGAGCTAAATCCTCAGCCCCTCTAAACAGCTTTGATAAAGGAACAAAATTAGAGTGCTAACCCTCCCCAATTCCACGACTTACCACAAAGTTACACCAATCATGACAAAATGGCATTGATATCAAGATACACAAACTACCGAAGTACCAATACAAAGTACCAAAATAGATACCCACGTAACAGACAATTGATTTCTGGTAAAGATGCAAAAGCAATTAAGTGGAGAAAGGATTATACCCTCAATAAATATACTGGAATAACTGGATATCCACATGCAAAAACCAAAACCTTACAGCATATCAGATATTTCTCAGGACATCCAAGAGTCAATTCAAAATGGCTCACAGTAGGTTAAAGTAAAGGCAGGTGTAAATAGAGTCACTGCTTGCTGAAGTCATTCTCTCTAATCAAAATACATGTTTTTTTCTTATACTAATGAAACAATATGGTTTATACATTGTGACATATTTATTTCACTAATTGTGTTCTCAAGGCATATTCATTTACGTAGTTTATCATTCTTTGTGGCTGAATAATAGTCCATTATATAGAAATAGTACATATTTTTTATCCATTCTTCAGTCGATGGGCATTTAGGTTGTTTCCAAGATCTGGCTATTAAAATTGCTTTGCTATAAACATCGATGCATATATATTGCTGTGGTATGATATTTCTAATTCTTTTGGGAAGATACCAAGGAAAATAGTTGCGTCTAATAGACCTCCAATCCTAGTTTAATGAGGAATTTCCACAGTGGTTGCACCAGTCTGCACTCCTACCAACAGTGAAGAAGGCTTCCTTTTCCCCACAGCCCCTCCAGCATTTGTTATTGGTTGATTTCTTAATACTAGCCATTCTTTCTGGGATGAGGTAAAATCTCAGTGTTATTTGCATCTCTTGAATGACCAGTGCTGTTGAACATTTTTTCACATATTTGCTGTTTGTATTTCTTCATCTGAAAAGTGTGTGTGTATCTCAATTGCCCATTTTTGGATTGGGTCTTTAAATCTGGGAGCTGATTTGTCTTTTTTAAAAAATGCACTTATCAATAGTGGCATGTTGTTTTGAAACTAAAAGTAGAAAATATTTCTTCAAAAATTATGGCCATGCCTGGAAATGTTTTAACAAAGACTTTAGAAAGGAGGCAAGGCTCAACTGAGCCTTAATGAATGGGTAGAGTCCAGGATGCAGCTCAGTGGCACAGTGCCTGCCTGGCAAGCACAGGGTCCTCAGTTTGATTCCCAGTCCCCCTTCCCCCCAAAAAAAGGAAATCGGTAAACTGGAAGACATCTTATGAATATCTATATTTACTTTTTTTTTCTTTTTTCCGGTACCAGGGATCAAACTCACGACTGCCTGCTTGCAAGGCAGGTGCTTATGCCACTGAGCTAAATCCTCAGCCCAATTTACTTATTATTTTTAAGCAATATGTGCTCAAAGTGAAAAAATTATAGGAGAATTTAAATGACAAGTGAAAAATATTTAACTCTGAAAAGTAAAATCTGCTCAACTTGGACCTCTCGGTATATCTGCCAGTGGCTTTTTTTGCATGTATGCGATACACACACTCACGATTATAGGTGTATGTATTCCCACACAGCTTATTAGAACAGGTTTGTGAGGAGTTAAGTAAATCAGTATAAAACGTGAGAGGCTGCCATATAGCTCAGCAGCAGAGTTCCTAACTTCAAAAAAAAAGAAGAAAAGTAAAAGGAGTGAGAAGGAAGCATTGGGGTCATATAGATGGTGCAGTAAAGCAAGCGTGCCTGAGTAAGTGATATCTAGGGTGAGTTGTCTTATGTAGCTATTGTGGCAGTTACCAGCTCAGGCATTTTATATTCTTGATGTGTACCTGGTTGGAGAGGTGACAAGCACACACAATATAAAGCAGAAAAAAGATAAAGAGCTATAGGAACTTAAAGGAGGAAGTAAGCAAGCCAGCATGTGTGCAGTCCTTGCACTCAGGAGGCTGAGACAGGAGGACTGTTGAGAGTTTGAGACTGGCCTTGGCTACATAGTGAGTTCAAAGCTAGCGTTAACTACATAGGAGACTGTTTCAGGAAAATCAAAAGTAGGGCCTGGGATTTAGCTTAGTGGCACAAGCACCTGCCTGGCAAGTGCAAGATCGTGAGTTCAATCCCCAGTACCAAAAGGAAAACAAAAAAGAAAAAAAATCAAAAGTAAACAAGAGGAAGGAATTTCTGTCTAAAATGATGATGAAAAGGCATTTCATAGGATTGAATTGAGAGTATAATTTATTAAGAGTTAAGGAACAGGTCTTTAAAGTCAATGGAGGCAGGAAATTGGAAACTGTCTTTGAACACTGTCAAGGAAGTCCACATAGTTGGAGTGGAGTGTATGGAAATGTCAAGGTAGGGCTAAGTGATAATGCCTAGGGTTTGTTAGATTGTGACAAGATTCAAACCACGGCTGTTGCAAAGGTTGAGATATTTGTGTACTTATTTATTTGTGTTTAGTTAACCCTGAGAGTTAAATGTTATTCTTGTCTGTATCCTCAGCCTCACTCAGCAGGTAGATCAGTGATTCTCATAAGAATGACTTCCAAAGTCCTTTTTATCTCTGACAGTGAAGGTGTTCCTTTCAGCAGTTTAGACCATGTCACTTTCAACATCTGTCCACAAAGAGTACTTTATTTCTACACTTTATTATAATGCATGCATTTCCATGTTTGTAGATTCCTGTGGCTGCATTTTTGAAAATTCTCCCATAAACTTTTATTCCCATCCTCCCTTAGTCTGTCTTCTATCTTGGCTTAGACTTGTTTTCCTGTCTTGACTTATATGAGAATTGTTTTAGATACTGTTTTCTAATTTTTTTTTTTTTTATCGGTACCGGGGATCGAACTCACGACTGCCTGCTTGTAAGGCAGGCGCTTATACTGTTGAGCTAAATCCCCAGCCCCTGTTGTTTGTGTGTTTGTCTCAGTTTGTTCACTGGATTGTGTACCTTGGGGATCAAGCTTACATTTTGCACTCTGGGGACAGAGATGAAACACAGGCATCATTGCAGGGACTCAGAGGGTCTAGTGACTGACTGCATGTAGGGCACGAAGCTAAGAATGTCACTAAGGACCCACACCCAGGTAACATGATGTTTGTGCTCCTCAGAGGCAGTGAAAGGAAGCTGCAAAGGTTGAGGAGTGCCATATCTGAGGTGCTGGCCTGCACTGTTAAGTATCTGCTCAGTACTACTTGTTAGACTCTGCTGTGGATACTTTTTATTTATTTTTGTCTTTTTCCTTTTTATCGGTACCAGAGATCCAACTCACGACTGCCTGCTTGCAAGGCAGGTGCTTACACCACTGAGCTAAATCCCCAGCCCCTGCTGTGGATACTTTTTAGTGCATGTTTTTTCCTCACGAGTTCTGAGTAGATCCAGCTATTGAATGCTTAACTGTAAACACTGACCACAATACTATGAGATGTATTAGCCATGCCCTACAGTGATCCATGAGAATTCATAGATAAGAATACCAAACCACAGCTATCGACTGTAAAGCCAGGATTTGATCCTAGTCTCTTGTTTTCTAAGCCCAGATATTTTTTTTTAAGGCAGATTTATTAAATGTGCTACTTTTTTGTTGTCTGCATATTTGTCTTTGCTTCTTTACTGGATTTAACATTAAATTCTACCCTATTTAAAGTACATACTTCTGTGTATTGGACTGCTAAGTATAGCAGCATTAGCTCCATCACAATCAAGACATAAAATATTTCCATCACTCCCCAAATTTCTCTCAAAATCCCCCTCTTCCTTTTCCCAGCCTCAGTAATCACTACTTCCTGTCATAGTTTTTGCCTTTTTCAAAATGATGTATAAATAAAATTGTCAAATACAGACTTTTTTGTGTGATTTTTCTGCTTAGCATAATGTTTTTAAATTGATCTACATTGCTGCATTGTATAAGTAGTTTATTTCTTTTCATTGCTGAGGAGTAGTTCATTATATATTTATATTACAATTTTTTACCCTTCCCTGGTTGTTATGGTTTGTGTCCGGATGTCCCCCTCAAAGCCTGGGGACAGGCTTATAGAATTTGTGATTGATTCATGGTCCAATGCTGGGATTATGGGTGTGAGTGCTACACTCACCCTAGGGCAAGTAGCCTACATACAGCATAGGGGATGGAGTCATCCCTCTCCTTGCCTTTTGCTCTTACTGCTTTTGCTGCCCTCTGCCATGTGCCACTCTGGCTTGGAGCCAGCTGAGTATGAACTGAAACCTCCACAAACTGAGCTAAATAAACCTCTCCTTCCTTCATTTTGGGTGTTGGGTATTTTGTCTCAGCAACAAGAAAAAAGTAACCAACACTGGTTAATAGGTATTGAGTTACTTTCAGCTTTTGGCTCTTACAAGTAAAAGTACTCTGAACTGTGTACAGGTCTTTGGACATGTGAAAACATCTGTCTTGGTTAACTCTGGGTATGTGTTCCTAGATTACATGATGTGTGTAATTAACTGTATAAGCTGCCATTACAAAGGGCTGTACCACTTACATTCCAACCAGCAGTGTACAGAATGCAGTTCTGCATCCTCCAGCATGATTAGTGTTGTCATTCTTTTTTCATTTCAGCCACTGTTATAGTTGTGTGGTAGTAACTCATTGAGAGGTTATTTTTCTTTGTGGTTTTTATTGCAGTTTCCTAATGACTTGATGTTGAACATCTTTTCATGTCTTTATTTGCTGTCTGTATTTCTTCTTTTAGTAAAGTTTTTGCCTATTTTCAGCAGATTTTTTTTGTCTTTATTATTGAGCTCTGAAAGTTTTTTATATTCTGGATAAAGCCCTTTTCAAGGATGTGTTTTGCAAACTGATTTTCTTAACTGTACTTCAAAAGCAAGGTTTGATGAGAAACAGTCTATCATTTTTTTTCACTAGGGCTTGTGCTTTTTGTTTCATATCTAGGAAATCTTTGACTGACCCAATGCACAAAAATTTCCCTCTGTTTTTTTCTAGAAGATTGGTAGTTTTTATGTTTAATCATAGTTTCCATTTTAGTTTGGTTTTTTAATGTGGTATGAGGTAAGGGTTAAGGTTACCTTTTTGCAAAAAGATGTTTAATTTTATAGCACTGAGTGTTGCCCTGTTTCCCAGTCTTTTCATTAGTTTTAACTATGGTTTTGTACAAATCATTTAAGTCCTATGAGTCTCCTTCTTAGCATGTAGTCATTTGAGGATTAGAAAGATTTGTAGCAATTACAATATCTGAACATACTGTAAGAGACATTCAGTTATTAATACCTATGACTTTATTAGTAGTAAAATTTTTTTCAAATCTCTGTGTCAGTCAGCAAATATTAAACACCTCATCTTGTGCCAGGGAACAAATTAAACAGAGTTTCTATTCATGGGTGCATGTGTACTATCAATTGGTATACAAAGCATGATGTACATTGTTGGTGTATGATCTAATGACAAAGGTTGACAATGCGTTTTGATTCAGTTATGGAGGTTTGTAGTTGATATCTAAACTGCAGTATCTTAAAATGAAATGTATTAGTTTAAAAGTTAGGCTCTAAAACTGTCAGAGTTGGTCAGATATAGAATGATGACACCAAAGCCTGGGAGAGTATCCCTAGCATCATGCAAGTAGAGAGTGCCCTAAACCAGGTTACACAATTCCTGGAAGATGAGGCAGCCAACTAGCCATGGAAGTGGACCTTTGGAGCAGTCTGCCCATGTCATTTGTCATACTTCATCTCCTGATGGGCCTCTGTGATTAAGGACAGTTTGGATTGAAATACAGTCATTCATATAAATTTGCCTCCAGGCTCAGAATATACTGCTAACTCACCGTAAGTTTCTACCTGGCTCAGTTGTGATGTTTTGAAAAATAATTTAGGGCTGAGGATGTAGTAGAGCTCTTGCCCAGCATGTGTGAGGCTTGGGTTTGATCCCCAGCCTTGCAAAAAATAACAATAAAAAGCAAAAACAAATTGACCTTTCAAAGATCAGGTTCTTAAAAATGTGGTACTTGGCATATACCATATATATCAGTGCCCTGAGTGAATGGCTTGTGAGAGATGCTGTGGGCAGAGCACTGGCTTAGAAATTAAAAGTGGAAGTTAAGGGTATGTAGCTTAGTAATATGGCCCTTGCTGAGCATGCACAAGGCCCTCGGTTCAATTCCCAGTACCAAACAAGACAAAAAGAAAAAGAATTTTGTATGTTCTTCTCTACTAGCTGTGGGGACTTAGGCAACTTATTTAATGTTTCTGATCCTTATAAATTCTCTGCCTCCTTTAAAGCACCTTTGTTAGCATTATATGAAAGAACTAGCTCTTTCACATCCTGCTTCTTGTTACCCATTAGCAGTATATCCTAGAGTGAATTTTATTTATGTGTAACTTTTTATTTTTAGAATCGTCTAAAAGAAATTGAACACAATCTTTCTAAAATAATGAGACTTGATAATGAAATTAAAGCCTTGGAAAGTCGAAAAAAACAAATGGAGAAAGATAACTGTGAACTGGAACAGAAAATGGAAAAGGTTTGTGGTGTTAGAGTTTTCCTGTATTTGAAAATTTGGGGATGCTTGTAGTGAACCTTCCCAGAAACCATTTTGCCAGCCATATTTTGATGTTTGTGTTACTTCTTTGTGCATGTTAAAAAGAAGGATATTGAGTAAGATTCGGTTTGTATTTGATACCTTAGTATGATTGTAACTTCTAATATTTAGACATTAAAAAATTTTTATTTATTTGGCATCACAGGTTTTTCAAGGTACTGATGAGCAACTCAATGACTTATATCACAATCATCAGAGAATAGTAAGAGAGAAAGAAAGGAGGTTAGTAGACTGTCAGCGTGAACTGGACAAACTAAACAAAGAATCCAGGCTTCTCAATCAAGAAAAGTCAGAGCTACTTGTTGAACAAGGTACGACAAAATATTTACTCAGGTCTTTTTTTTTCTTGCTATAATACACATTTCCTAAATGAAGAATCTTCATGGACTTACGTTTAGTGAAAAAAAGCCAGTCTCAAAAGCTTGTATGGTATGTTTGCATTTATATAGCATTCTTTTTTTTTTTTTTTGGTCTTTTTCCTTTTTATCAGTACCGGGGATCAAACTCAAAACTGCCTGCTTGCAAGGCAGGCGCTTATGCCGCTGAGCTAAGTCCCCAGCCCCCATATATAGCATTTTTGAAATGTCAAAATTTAGGAAATAGTGGACAGATTTGTGGTTGTCAGGGTACCTGCTAGGAGGAGAGGCCAGAAGAAGATGGATATAGCTGTGGTTAAAAAAGAGCTCAAGAAGGCTGGGGATTTAGCTCAGTGGTACCAGTGCCTGCCTGACAAGCATGAGGTCCTGAGTTCAATTCCCAATTACCCCCCCCCCAGAAAAAAAAAGCAAAAGAGGAATCTATGGTACAGATCTTGACTTACAGTGGCTATGAGGCTACACAGGTGATAAATTTATATGGAACCTGGCAGCAAGGAAAAATTACCTGAAATCTAACACATATACCCATATAAACTGGAACAGGTAACATTGGAAAATTTGAATAAGATGGGTGGATTATATTGATGTTGATAGCCTGGCTGTAATATATAATGCAATTTTACGACACATTCTCATTATGGGAAAGTGGGCAAAGTATCCAAGAAATCACACTATTACTTTTTCAACTTCTTGAAGCTACAGTTATTTAAGAAATCAACCAAAAAAAAAGTTAATAGATTGTTTTCTTTAAAGGCCGTCTACAGCTACAAGCAGATCGCCATCAAGAACATATCCGAGCTAGAGATTCATTAATTCAGTCATTGGCAACACACTTAGAATTGGATGGCTTTGAACGTGGACCATTCAGTGACAGACAGATTAAAAATTTTCACAAACTTGTGAAAGAGAGACAAGAACAGGAAGCAGAAACTGCCAACCAGCTGATGGTAAATAATTTGAAATAAAATGTTTGCTCTTTTGTGTTAGATTTTGTTGTTTCTTTTAATTTTTGGATGAAGTCAAATCTACACTAACATAGGAAAAAACTTTTATAGAAGCAAATTTGTAAAAGTTCATAAGGATGCAAATAAAAATAAGATGTAGCCCTCTTTTTTTGGGAATGAGGAGTCCTGCGGATTGAACCCAGTTCACACCTGCTAGGCAAGCTCTCTACCACTGCACTACATTTCCCAGCACTTTTTAACCTGATTTACTTGGTTTTATTTTGAGATAGGCTCTTGATAAGTTTTGAGGCTACCTCCAATTTATACTCTTGTGGCCACAACCTCAGTTTCTGGGATTATAGGCATGTGCCACTGTGCCTGACTAGACTACGTTTTTTATTTTAAGTAAAAAAAAAATTTTAAGGCTGATTGCAACAAAAAGTTTGTTCATAGTAATTAATGGTTACCTCTGAATCACACATCTTATGTTTATAAAAGTATTTTTCTATATTTTCTCTAGTGTACATAATGTTATTTATTTTATTATTATTTATTTTTGGTGGTAATAGAGATTGAATTCTGGAGCTTTGCAGTGAACTACATCCCCAACCTTTTTCAGTTTTTTTTTTTTTTGTACCGGAATTGAACTCACAACCTCACTCTTGCCAGGTAGGTGCTTATACCACTGAGCTAAATTCCCGGCCCGTCGAGTTTTTATTTGAGACCACATCTCACTAAGTTGTCCAGGCTGGGCTCAGATTTGGGATCCTACTGCCTCAGCCTCCCAGAGTGCTGGGGTTACAGGCATCTTTCATCATGCCTGGCTTACAGTGTTACTGTTGTGTGAAGAAACTTTTTCTAGATAAATTGTTTAGTGAAAAATTACTGATACACACTCTTTACATGTATGTATTTAGAATGACTTTGTAGAAAAAGAAACTCTGAAACAAAAACAGATTGATGAAATAAGGGATAAGAAAACGGGACTGGGAAGAATAATCGAGCTAAAATCAGAAATCCTAAGTAAGAAGCAAAATGAGTTGAAACATGTGAAGTGTGAACTACAGCAGCTGGAAGGATCTTCAGACAGAATTCTTGAACTGGACCAGGAGCTCACAAAAGCTGTAAGATGTTTAAGAAATCTAATAATCTGAAAAGTGTAAGATATTTAAAATCTTGCCTTCTGAATTATTATATCTATTGCTACTAATAAGATTTTTTTAATTTTAATTTTCATTATGTTTGCAGTATATCATTATATTTGTTGTGAAAAGTTAGTGCAAGTGAAGGACACATCTCAATTCCTTTTTACACTCTTTCCCTGTTCTGCCTCACGCCTCGCTCCATCTGTGGGTCTTCTTTATAAAGGTTCTGTCTCCTTGTTTCTTGTAGATTATTATAAACAAGTGTCGACTTTTTCTGTGATCTGATATAAAATGAATTTACCTGAATATCTTAATCATCCAGCTCTTTGGTTCTAAAACCCAAAAAGTTGAAAATTAAAAATCACCCAGGGAGGTTTTTAGATAGCTTAGACTTGAGAACTTTCACACCTTCCAAACCTCAGTCTCCTGAGAGTGAGACATGGAAATACATGTTCCAGACAGAGCAGAACTGGGTAACTGTTGTAAGCATCTTGGCTAAGAACTGTGTTTTAAAAAAAAGTATTTTCCCTCTGGAGTCTACACACTAATTTTAAATGGTTTTGTGTTGATACCATTGTTTTATGTGGTGAATGTTCATAGCTAGTTTCTTTTTAAGAATCTCTAAATTCTCTTCCTTGTTTCTAGTCTGTCATTTCTCCACCAGTATAGAGCTTGGCAAGCCCTCTCTTAAAACCCATCTTTATAATTTAAGTAAACATTAACTAGACCTATCTACTAGTAACATAATTTTAGTAAGCTTTTCCTTAAAGCATGCAATAGCCTATGTCTCTTTTCTCTTGTTGGATGTAAGCAAATAGTCGTATTGACCATTCTGAGTAATTCATAGTATACTTTTCATTATTTTAATTCTGATGCAAAATATATAAACCTCTGCATTTGTTTGAATTCTTGATTAGGAACGTGAGTTAAGCAAGGCTGAGAAAAACAGCAATATAGAAATCCTGAAAGCAGAAGTGATAAGCCTTCAAAATGAGAAAGTAGACCTAGACAGGACCTTGCGTAAATTGGACCAGGAGATGGAGCAGTTAAATCATCACACGACAACCCGTACCCAGATGGAGATGCTAACTAAAGACAAAGTATGAATTTCCTTTCTGTTTGAATTATACTGTTGGGTGAACTATTGGGCAATAACTGATAGAGTGTGACGTATTTATCTGGTATTGGCTTTCTATATTAAGGGAAGTGAGCTACACACTGTAAAATAAACTTTAAGTTTCAAAGTTGTTCATTGTTGTTGATGTTGTTGTTTTGTCTTTTTGAGGCAGAGTCTCGCTATGCAGTTCAGGTTGACCTTGAACTCAGTATGTGACCCAGACTGCCCTCAAACTCGCAGTGGTCCTCTTATCTCAGCCTGTGGACTGCTGGGATTATAAGTGTGTGCCACTATGCCTGGCTATTGTTGTTTTTAGACAAAGATTGTGCTCTGTTGCCCAACCTGGCCTCAAACTCCTGGGCTCAAATAATTCTCTTGCCTCGGCCCTGAGTAGCTAGGTTTATAGTTGTGCCGCTGTGACTGTCAAAATTATTTTTTAATTATAAAAAGTTAATACAGAAGTACACATCCATAAACCACAGGACAATTGCTGTTTACTTTTTTTTTTTTTTTTTTTTTTTTTTTTGGTACAAGAACTCAAACTCAGGACCTTGTGCTTGCCAGGCAGGTGCTGTGTGTTTACTTTTAATGTATGGAAGTTTTAAAATTTCCTATTTCTAGACTTGCTAATCTTCATTTAAGGCTTAGAATTACCCCCTTGCATCTCTTTCTGTGGCAGCGCAAGATCAAACTCAGAGTCTTGCTCTTGGCAGGCAGGTGCTGTTGCTGCCACTGCTGCTGAGCTGTATCCCTGGCCCCCACTTGCAATTTTATAGATTGTTTTCTTTCTTCTTTTTTGGTCAAAAACTAGTCAATCTGGAATTTGTTTTTGCTTTTGATACAAAAATTGAGATACAGCGTTAGTTTTCTAAAGTGTTTTTGTTTTTCTCTTACAGACTGACAAAGATGAACAAATCAGAAAAATAAAATCTAGGCATAATGATGAACTAACTTTACTCTTGGGGTATTTTCCCAACAAAAAACAGCTTGAAGATTGGCTCCATAGTAAATCAAAAGAAATTAATCAGACCAGGGATAGGCTTGCCAAATTAAAGTGAGTAGTTGCAGCATTACCATGGTAATAGAAATCCCTTACTTTATGCTTTTATTTTTCATTGTTTTAAATAATGTATTGTCATGAAATGATATGTTATTAAATGGTTATTAAATGGCCTACTTTTTGCAAGTTAAGTAAAATGGTAATTGGTATTGATTGGGGTCTCTTCTCCTTTGGAAACATGTAGATCTTAGTTTAAAGGATTAAAATTCTGAATTTAAAAAAAAAATTTCTACTATTAACCCATTATAAAAAGATCATTTTTGTCAGATACAATCTTAGATGATGGTTGAATAAAGAGGGTCAAAAATTTACTCAGTTATTAGGGAGATGATAGATTAGGCTTTGCTCATGTTAAATATGTACTTGTTGCAGAAGGTCCTTTAAGGAATAGAATATTGAAGCTTGAAGTTCAGGAGACTGGAAGTTGTTGTTAAATAATTGACATTAGAATATTTTGTCACCTTGGGAGAGCTTTGCAAAGCAGAGAAGGGGTTACAGTAAACTGCTGGGAAGCACTAGCTTTTAACAGGTTGCACACAGAAGGAGAAGAGCAAGTGAAGTAAATAGGGTGTCCCTGAGGAGCCAGGGTGAGAGCCCAACAGGAGCAGTTTCTGAGGTGCCTTGGGAGGTGATCCTTTCAGGAGAGTGTTTGCTGCTACTAGAGGTCAAGTGAGACAGGGCTGCACTTCATGCTTCAGTTACCAATGACTTTGATGAACAGTGCTAGATGATGAAAGTATCATACATATCAGTTATTTTGTTCTAGGTGTTTAGTGTGACTCACAATGGATGGCATGATGAAGTACATGTGTGTTTACATGTTTTTCTGAAGCAGGTTTCTGAAAATAGTTTTTCCCTTAACTTAGAATCTAAGGCCATGAGTCCCTGAAGTCAGGCAGAACTTGTACATTTCTCTAGAGTTGGCCCATCAGTAGGACTGGCAGTTGGATCAGTGTCCTGTAGGAAACATGAAGGCAGGAGTGGACTTTTTTTATCCTGACTTCTGAGAAGAACTTTGGGTCTGGGAGTATAGTTCAGTGGTAGAGCACATGCTTAGCATTGTGCAAAGCCCAGTGTGAATTTATTGATTTTAGAAAATTTGGTCATATACCAAACCTTGTGCTTTGTTAAAAGAATTTGTCTTAATTATAATTGACACTTGTTTTGTTGTTGTTGTTGTTGTTGTTTTGTTTAGCAAGGAACTAGCATCAGCTGAACAACATAAAAATCATATAAGTAATGAACTAAAAAGAAAGGAAGAGCAGTTGTCTTCTTATGAAGATAAGCTATTTGATGTTTGTGGTAGCCAGGATTTTGAAATGGATTTAGACAGGCTTAAAGAGGATATTGAAAAATCTTCAAAACAGCGAGGTATGTTACCAACTTTATATTACCAAAGCACTTTTGAATTTTCATTTATAAGTAACTGTTAAGGGTGGGAGATTTAAATCCTTGTAATGGAGCCAAATGCCTTGACTTTTTTATTTATCTATTTATTTATGGTTTTTGTTGGTTGGTTGGTTGGTTTTTTGAGACAGAGTAGTTCAGGCTGGCTTTGAGTTCACTTTGTAACTCAGGCTGTTCTTGACCTCACGAGGATCTTCCTGCCTTATTAGCCTCCTGAGTGCTAGGATTATGCGTGTGACCCACCATGCCTGGCTGCCTTGACTTTTAATAATGGCACTATAACACACTTGACTTTAGATAATATATTAATACCTTCCTGTGTTCCACATTCATCATCAGCAAAATGAACAGCTTCCACTTAGGGCAGTGATGGCATACCTATGACGTGCGTGCCTCAGTAGGCTGTGTGCACTGAAAACCCTACGAGGTTCGCCATCACTGATCTAGGGTATTAAAAATAGGTGCAAATAGGATTATAAGTAAAATCCTAAAAATAGTTTCTGGCACATAGAAAACTTTCAGTAGATGTCTAACTTTTCATATGTTAAAAGAAAATAATTAGGGGCTGGGGATTTAGCTCAGCGGCATAAGCGCCTGCCTTGCAAGCAGGCAGTCCTGAGTTCGATCCCTGGTACCGATAAAAACGAAAAAGACAAAAAAAAAGAAAATAATTTATATAAATCTAAATGTATTCTATCCTTTGGAAGAAGATTTAAATATAAGAGACCTTTTATTTCATTTGTAATAGGCTTGTAAAGTAAGAAGAACAATTATAGTTATAGAAGTTGCACATTTTTTTCACTAGAGATCTATTGATTTTCCTAAAATAGCTATGCTGGCTGGAGCCACAGCAGTTTACTCCCAGTTCATCACTCAGCTAACACATGAAAAGCAGTCATGCTGCCCTGTCTGTCAGAGAGTTTTTCAGACAGAAGCTGAATTACAAGAAGTCATCAGTGATTTACAGTCTAAGCTGCGGCTTGCTCCTGATAAACTTAAGTCAACAGAACTGGAACTGAAGAAAAAAGAAAAACGTCGAGATGAAATGCTGGGGCTTGTGCCCATGAGGTGAGAAAGGGGTTTATCATTACTGTGTGTGCAGTGGTCATGTTGTAAAGGATGCTCATAGAGGGGCTGGGGATTTAGCTCAGCGGAATAAGCACCTACCTTGCGAGCAGGCAGTTGTGAGTTCAATCCCCGGTACCAATAAAAAAGAAAAAGACAAAAAAAAAGGATGCTCATAGAGCGCTTGGTGTGTGATAGATTCATGGTAAGGGTAGGTTGAAAAATAAAAATTAAAGTCAGAGTTTTTATACTCTGAACTAATATATTCTATTTCATATTACATACTATAGTAGAATCAATTGTTTAGTTTAAAGCTAAGCTTGTAGCCAGGCATGGTGGCATGTACCTGTTACCTCAGGGAGGTGAGGCAGGAGTGTCACTGCTAGTTCAGGACCAGCCTGCACTACAAAGTTAGGCCATGTCTCCAAAAACTAACTCAAACAAGCAAGCAAGCTAACTAATCAGGAAGTATGTATTTTATGTGTTGTGTATGAGATAGACTTGGCTTAAGAGCATAAATTTTGGGGGCTGGGGATTTAGCTCAGTGGCATAAGCGCCTGCCTTGCAAGCAGGCAGTCGTGAGTTCGATCCCCGGTACCGATAAAAAAGAAAAAGACAAAAAAAAAAAAAGAGCATAGATTTTGACAGATTTAGAACTGTTTGTTGATACTTTCTTAATCGAGCAAAAGAATGAGAGTACTTAAAAGCTCTCCCCAAAACTAAATTTTAAACTATATTTGTATATAGTGATTTCTCTGGTGTTGCCCAGAACATAGGGCACAAGGCTGTCCATAGAGATTATAAATGTATGACCTACACTGTGCTACTTACACCACAAGAATGGGCTAATTCAAGAGAAAACCTCTCAGAATTAGTTACAAAGGTGGTTTTAGTAAAGTGTTCAAACAAGGCAGGCATGGTGGCTCACGCCTGTAATCCCAGCATTCGGGAGACTGAAGCAGGAGGATTGTTGCGAGTTTGAGACTAGCCTGGGCTACAAAGTGAGTTCAAGGCTAGCCTGAACTGCATAGAGACCCTGTCTCAAAAAGACAAAAAAAAAGGTTCAAACAGATGCATTAAAAGACAGACAGTGAGTCCAGAATTGTGGGGAAGGGGGATATTTGAGAATGAGGAAGGAAATGGAATATAAAACCTAGAGAAGTTGGTAAAGGAGGAGGTAAACCTCAGGTAAAAGGAGGGGGAGAAGGGGAATAGAAGTTTGTGCACCGGAAAGGGGAGTGTGACTGCAACCAAAATGTTATCTGGAGTTTTTTGGACTTTTGGGATTATTTGTGTGGGTTGACTTGAGTCCCTCACATTGAGAAAATAGGGTTACATATGTTCAGGCCTAAGGATAACTCACTCTTACAGGTGATAAGGAGCCATTCTAAGGGATTTAATAGAAGATGTATTTTAGGAAAATAAATATGATATTAATGTTAAAATATATTAATAACATTAAATAGATTTGAGTTAGAAAATCTCTACAAGCAGAAAAACTAAGAGAGTATGTTGTCTAGGAAAACCAAAGAAAAACTTCAGGAAGGGAGAAGGAAAGTCCATGATGTGCTTTGCAGCAATCAGCTGCTACTGTGGTCCTCATGGTTGTCTACAGTCTCCTCTGGTGTAGTTGCCTTAGCTTTACTTAATATGCTGTGATCAGAATAGACCCAAGGTCCATGGTCAGCAATCAAGTAGGACACAGTGATAGCAAGTTTCTTCCAGGATTAGGTGATCTAAGGTACTATGGCTCCCCTGCCATTCCGTCAGGGAGGATCTTGGTGCCATGTGTGAGTGCCCCACACAGAGGCTACATGATGAGGATCTGAGGACTGTGGGTGAGTTTAGAATAGTTTGCAGCAGTCAGCCTTGAGATTATCGCAGCCCCGACTGATAGCTGGTCTGCAGCTTCTGTCAGAGACGCTGCATCAGAAGCAGATCTCCCCAGTCTTCATATCTGAGAAATAAATGCTCTTGTGTTAAGCTGCTAGCTTTCGGAGTGTTTTGTTATGCAACAGTAGATAACTAATAAAGCAGCAAGAACGAAAACCAGATAGTGGGGCCACAGAAAGAGTGTGATAAGATAGAGCAGTAGTTTGAGAATAAAAAGGAAATAGAGTAATAAGGTATTATCTTGAAATGAAAAGATCAAAAATAGATAAAACTTTAAGTTTATCTATTAAAACTTTAAATTTAAAAATATCAAAAATTAGATAAAACTTAAAGTTGGTAGAAGGAACACATAGAAGAAAAGTGTGGTGTTAGGGGTTAGTTCTGTACTCACTGACACATGGTGCTATGCATTAGAGCCCTTGCCACCACAGCTTCCCTCCTCAGAGTGAGACACTCCTAATGCACTGCTGTCTCCGCAGTTCCTTGTTTTCTAGTTCTGGTAACTTTTCACTAATTGAAGAAGAACTGTAGCATCTTTTATTTATTGTATTAACAAACCTTCTCAAGTCTTAGTGTCTCACAGCAACAATTCTTTTTCCATAGCTTTGTGGGTACCTGGATGGATTTCGTCTGGGACTCTCAGGTAGCTGCAGTCCAAGGTGGCAGGTCATGGAGTAAAGCTACGGCTAAGAAAGATCCAGAGGAAGCACTGATTGTTCAGTGAGGGCACACATATTTTAGACCTGTTTGTACTAAAAGAATCACAACATGAAAACAAGAGGAGGCTAAAGACAGACCTCAGTTTCCATACCAGGCTCTGATGGGTGTTGTTTTGATGAACTGGAGAAGAAAAATGAAAAGGGAAAGGAAAAACGAGAAGACTCCTCTCATTTATATATTTGACAGTTTTCGGTGCGATAAAAGAGAATAAAAAGTAAAAATAGCCTTTATTCCAAGGACATGGAGAGGAATCCATGACCATGACCGCCTGGGTCCCTCTGTCCGGAACTGGGAGTAAGGGATATATATATATATAAAAAACCTCTGATCAGGGGTGGTCCTTAGGGCGGGCATTGATGATGCGTGAGGAGCTGATTGGAGTTTTCTTCACATACAAACAGGAAGGGGAGTTGCAGTTAAGGCTGAGGAAGAAGCAGGAAATGGTAGGCATTCCTACTTTGGCCTTACACCATGTTAGATCACTGCCATAACTGTATAGTAATTTATACTAAGGCAAGAACCTTTCATTCCCATTCCCATCTTTGTATTGTTAGGAAAAGGGTGAAGTCTCTCTCTTAATTACTTTTTGCTGAAAGGGGGCACTGTACTGTGGTTCAGCAAGGTTGACCGGATGATGGTTGACACCCATGTAGAAGGTGGTACCAGGTGTTTCAGCCAGAACAACTTTATCATTGGTGAATGCCTGCATCTTAGACTGGAAAAACAAAGAGACAAGGTGTTATGAGGAAGCAGACCACTGTCATATTTAAGGACCCAGGGAAGGTAGAAGGAAAAGGGTCTTTGATTTAAATATGCTGTTCCATCAGGACCGCGGTAAAGTGGAATTCTGAAAAATAAGTGGGGTTGGGAGGAGTGAAGTTATGAGAGGTAGTTATTTCCCTCATCTTAAAAGGTAAAAGTTAAAAGTGTAGGTAGGTAGGGCTTGTCTCTGCTCCAGAAGTTGAGCTGGAAAGAATAAAAGGGCTGGGGAGGGCCGTGACTGTGTCACTGTAAGGGAGATAAGAGCCTAGGCCCACAGGGAGCGCACGTTTGACTGAACAGCTGAGGGTTGAGAGAACTAAGACAGTTGTGACATAGAACAACTTGAAGATGATCTTACGCATGATGTGGAAGTCTTTAGGAAACATTGTCAAGAGCCCTGTTGTACAAAAAGATAATTAATAGAATATAAGGGATTAGGAACCACATTGGATAACAAAACATGATCTACCCTGAATATTATGGCTGTGGGGCTTTGGTGAGATGGAGATGAGATTACTTCTCAGAATGTGTAGAGTCCGGGGTGTTAAGGTTAGGAGGGCACCACTTAGCTGGAGTGATGTGGAACCAGGATGGCAGTCCAGTGACCTTGACCACTGTTGAAGTTTTGAGGAAGACTGAGTGGGGGCCACTCCGTTTTAGTTGTAGTCATTGGGATGATTTCCTGTAACAGGACTTTAGTAACTATATCAGTAGTCTCCCTGGTTGTGGAAAAGGCTTTTATCCATCCTGAAAAAGTACAAACAAAGGTGAGAAGATATTTAAGAGTTCTGTGGTGGGGCAGGTGTGTAAAATCTACCTGCCAGTCCTGACCAGGGGTATGTCTGCGAAATTGATGAATAGGAAAGGAAGGGAGTGGTATGTGTCCCTGAAGATAGGTTTTACTATAGAGATGACAGGTGTAACTTGTTGAGACCTCAGAGTGTCTGGGTCAGTCTGCATAAACAAAGGAATAAAAAAGGCATTTTTAAGATCTATGACTGTAAAGTGAGTGGTAGAGGGAGGAATATGAGAGAGCATGGTATAAGAGTTGGGCACCACTGGATGGATTGGGGTAATGGCATTGTTGATTGCTCCAGGGTCCTGCACTAGATGATAAGACCCATCAGGCTTGAATACCAGGAGAACGGAAATATTATAGGGTAAATGGGTAGGTTTAAGAAAACCATTGTCTAAAAGACACTTGATTATAGGTTTAAGTCCCTGTAAATGTTTGGGAGTTATGGGATATTGAGGAACACAAGGAAAAATTGAAGGATCCCTGAGATAAATTAAAATAGACATGGCATGGGTAGCACTGGTGGGATTGGAGGTATCTCAAACTATGGGATCGATCAGAGAAGAAGGGATGGGAGGGGATGGCTTTGTGGTGCACTGTGAGGGTGTTTGGAGGACAGAGAGCTGTGGGGAGGTAAAGGAGAAGTTAAGCTTTTGAAGAAGATCCCTACCTAAAAGGGATGTGGGACATGTTGGAATTACTAGGAAGCTAGGAGTAAAGAAAAGAGTCTGGAACCTGCATGGAATAGGCCCTGCCTGCAAAGGCTGCATAGGTTGGCCTTCAACACCCACTATAGAGACTGAGAACTTATTAACAGCCTGAAAACTCAGGA